TGCCCGGCCCTGCCATAGGCCAAAAGGGCCTTCCCACCAGCCCTTTCCGCCCTCCTCACCCCACCACAACACCCCTCCCAGCTCGGCCCACGCAAGGACCGCAGACCCCTCCCCCCAGCTCGCCCCACCCAGGGGCCGCAGAACCCTCCCCTCGGCTCAGCCTGCGCGCAGGCAGCGGAACGCACGCCATGGGCAGGCACAGGGCTGCCAAGGGTCACTCCGGGGCCAGAGAAGACAGCGGGTGCAGCCTGGTGCGGAAGGGCTCGGCGTCCCTGCGGCGGCAAGTCTCAGAGCCAGGCCAGGCTGCGAGGCCCCGCGGTGCAGCACCGCCCCGCCGAGGACAGCGTGGTAGCAAATTCTCGGCCTCGCAGACACGCAGCGGCCCACGGAACCCACCCCCGGCGGCCGAGAGCCCTCGCAGAGGAGACCCGGTGCCCTGCATGGCTGTGGGCGGAGGGCAGGCTGCTCGGGCCTTCCAGACGGGAACCTGGCAGGGGAGGATGTTGAGGTACTTGCGAGGCTGACGGTAATCCCAGAACTTCAACAAAGCAGAGAAGTTGGGGGTGAGTCCGGGAGCTTCGCTCTCGGGGCAGGGGGCTCACGGGTCCGACAGAGCGCCAGGCACGTGCCAGCATGCCCCACAGTATCGGCAGGGGCATCCCGGCACTAGCATCAGCCCTCCCCAGGGACTCCGGGCGACCCGTGCGCATGGCCTGGCAGCAGACTCGCCGGAATGGGGGAGGTCGGCACTCCAGCCAGTGGACGGCCCGTCAGTGATCCGGGGCCGCTGGCACGCCCCCTCCGGGCGCCCCGCACCCACTCACCCTGACCGAGTTGTCCTGGCTGGACGTGGCCAGCACGTACTCGTTGTCCGGGTGCCAGTCCAGGCCGTGGATTTTAGAGAGATGCGCTGCCAGGTACTCCACTGCGGTGCCGGGTTTCTGCAACCAGACGCGGCTTAGTCCTCCCCAGGCTCCATCTCAGGAGCCCGGCCCGGCCCTCCCACGTCCCCGGCTCCCGCTCAGGGCCCTGGGCAGGGAGGACGACAAGCGACGGCTGGCAGGCTAGAGAAGAG